TTAAATACCTTAAAAAAAAACTCGAAAGTATGGGATTATTTTTCCATCTAGTATAATTAGTAATGTTTTTGAGTTGGTCTAGTACAGTTAGGAGAGCTACTATAGGATATTCATTCATGTATTTGGGGGCTCTTATTACATGGTGCTCTAAGAAACAACTAATGGTTGCAATGTCTACTTGTGAATTAGAATATATAATTCGAGTTGTAAATGCTTGCCAAGTTATCTGGCTGATTAATTTGTTGCATGAACTAAATTTTAATTTGTAGACACCAGTGAAGTTACTGATTGACAAAATCCTTGCCAAAAATCCAGTGATGTACGAGAGGAGCAAACACATTGACACAAAGTTCTAATTGCTGCACAATCAAGTTCATAATGAAGTGTTTGAGATTGTTCACTGCATCACTCAGAGGCAACTTGCAGATGTGCTTACCAAATTAATCTAATATATTATTTTATTAAGTTGAGGAATGAACTTGGTGTTACTTATTTTAAGAATATGAATTAAGGGATGGTATTGGAAGTAATTCACATTTTTAACTTTGTTGTTTTACCATTAGTTACAATTAGTAATTACTGTTGAGTTGCATTTACACTTCATTAGTTGTGAATTTTCATTTCATTAAGACAATTAAGTTTTGCTAAATGTGCTTGAGTTGGACTTGAGACATCACAGACAAATAGGGAGGTGAATTGTGTGGTTTGGAAAAATGTGTTTTTAAAAATGTTTGGAAAATAAAATTAGAGTTTAAAAACATTTTTGAAAACTTAGTAGCGGAAAATAAAATGCAAAAATTATAGAGTTTGAGGGATATAACGGAACACCAAAAGTTATACAAGCTCAGTAAACATGACTTAGTTTTGTCCCTAAATAATTGATCTTGAGAGTTTTCAATAAACATTGAAAGCTTTTAGAAGGAAAGACTCATGAACCCCCTTATAAAAGGAAATGTTGGTTGACCTTCAATCAAATATTACAAGACTTAGGTGTATAGAAATTTGAGTCTTCTCTTCCAAACAGTGAATCCAAGCAGTCAATGCTTTCTTTATAAATGAGGATCTTAGAGTAGTTAGTCTTCAAGTTCCTTAAACCTTGCAAGTTTTTATACGGGCTGAGCTCACGAACCTTAAACCTTGGTTTTACACAGGATAACCAATAACCTGTAAGATTTTAACACCAGACTGATCTCGAACCTATGAAGCTTTTGATACCAGATTGAGCTTCAACCTATCTTGGTTATAATATCGGACTAACCAAGAACCTAAGATATTTTATCGCAGGCTGAACTCCAACCTAAACAAGGACTGAAACCCACAATCTCAAACAAAAGTTTTTTACGGGTTTAGCTTCAAACCCAAAAAAATACCTAAAGGGAGAATATTTAATCAAAGTGTATACAAAAGATTCCCTTTGGTGAATTCACAATTCTACCTTTTGTAAAATTACAATTTTATTCTCACTCACAACAGGACTTTTCTCAAAATAGTGCTTAGGCTAAAACATTAGTGAGAGAAAGTTAAATAAAGCTTTAGAGAGAGGGAGAGAGAGAAGTGTATCAAAACATGATTCTGGATTAAATGAATTGAGATAATGACCTCTATTTATAGGCTAGAGGTTACCTCAAAAATGATATTTCAATAAAAGTTTTTTATGACATTCTAGTTGTTTGGCAGATATTCACAATTGATTAGAAGTTTGAAATACAATTGACTGTAAGTTTATAAAAGGAAGGAAAAGATATCTAGTCGTTGCACATCATTAAGGCGTTGTCTCAATCGCCTGTGACACAATTTTGAACTGAGCTAATTAATTAGACAAATGTTATAATTGATTAGATAAATCAAAATTTTGTCTATATCTATTTTTACCATTCCTAATTCATCTGGAACAACTATAATATATTTTTGAAGGTATTCTCTTTGGTAAAAATATTTTTAAAAACATTTGTGCGTGTGTGCGCGCGCGCGCGCTCGCGCGCTTTTAGCCACGTGCTTTTATGATAAAACCCTTATGTTTTACAATAGGCTCACTCACTACTAAATTAGGAATATCCTAACTACTTTAAGACATTGCCATATATTTCTCTTTTGTTGACACTTGCTTGAGTTGTTTGAGATGAGGCTTTAGCTGCATTCTATTTGATTGCCATCATCGGATAGTCAAGTCTAATCAAACCCTAATGATTAGGTTTGTATCTTTATCTGCTTAATCATTCATGATTTACTTATCATAAGACATTAGTTGTCATCATCAAAAATTGATGTCCTTGTTAAAAGTATATTATCTGCAAAACAAGGTTCCACATTTTCACATTTTTTGATGATGACAACACATCTCTCCGAGGAGGGGTAAAAGAAATAATATAGATATATTTGGAGTGATTAAACTCCCCCTGAATTAAATAGAGAGTATACTCTACTTCTCCCGAGAGTATACTTTCCCTCTTTGTCAAAATAAAAAAAAGTCAAGTAAAAATACTTTTGCAATGCAAACAAAGGCAACTTAGTCATTTAAAGAAAGAAAAATATCACACTCATATTATTATTAAGTAATTCAGATTACATAAGTAAATTTGATGAATTAAAGGTACAAGGAGAAAATGCATAACAAGAATGAAAACATCTAAAAAAAACACTTAATTCATCTCAACGCCATCATCCTCACTGAAATTCACTTGCCATTTTCTCAATGAGCATGTTAATCTTTGTATTCATCTTACCTTTCTTTGCTCATCACAGATTTCGTTAAAGGAGTTGGATGGAGGAGTGTTTCTTTGCTCCCTTGTTCTTCTTGGTTGTTGAGGGACAAATTCTTCTTTTTGAATTGCATGTCTCATCTTGCTTATAACATCTTGTCCTATCTTTGCGTGTACATGGATAAGTTCTTCTTCGAAAGGATAGGCGGAGTAGTGAACGAGAGATTTGCGTAGAACATTTTTACTAAGTCTGGGTACCTCTTCTGGGGTTTCTAAAAAACAAAGTTTCTTAGCCCTGCAGCAGTGATATGTCAGACCAAACAAGACCCCAATTATACTCAGCACGAGCAAGAGAAGCGACACAGACGACAATATCACTCATTTGCGAATCTTCTTCATCATCAAAAAAATCTAACCCATGATCCAAAGTCATTGTTAGGTGTATTTAGAACGAGGATAAGTTACAGTCATAGAGATGTTCCACAAATACGGGGTTCTTCACTCTCGCAGATAATGAATACTCTTCACTAACGAGCTCAAGAGCATTGCTTACGGGTGCATCTCTAGGATTGACCATGACAATACGCAGAAAAAGATGGGAAGGATAGAACACTGATAAATAACCAATAGAATGTCCAAACGCATGAGTAAGAGAACTGATAGACAAACCCAAAAAGAATAAATGAGCGAGGAGTAGCAGGAAAGCGAAAAGGGACTTTGCGGGCAACATCTACCTTTTATAAGGAAGTCAGTCGATAATCAGTGACTTAGATCGAAAGCACGAAAAAGATTTGAAGGTAGCAGTCAACTGTCTCATCAAAAGTGTCGGCGGGCCAAAGTACTTAAGCACTCTAGGTAGGGAAATCATGTCCTAACTTGTACCTCTAAGATCATGCGCTTAGAGAAAGGAACAAAACGTTTTGATGATGAAAAAATATTTAATGTACTTATCCTTCACTATTTTTTCAATTAGGCATGGCAACAAGACGGAGCGGGGACGGGTTTAGCTAGCCCCGCACCTGCACCTGCCTCCCTGTTATAGACTCGTCCCTGCCCCCAAATTCAGTCAGGGTTAAAAATTTACCACCCATACCCGTCGTCGATGGAAACGGGTTTGCCCGCACCCGCACCCACCCGAAAAAAATGATTTCTTTTAAATAGTAATAGAAATTAATAATTTTATTAAAAACTTACCATTTTAATAATAAATTTGTTTCTAAAGATGAGGGTTTGAGTGAATAGTGAGAAATGACTAATAAGGATTTTTAATTATTTTTTCAAAAGCGAATAAATGTGTAATAAAATAATTTAAATATGGATATTAAAGTAAATATCATAAGACCGGGCGGGGTGGGTGTGGGGCGGGTAGTAGCATTCCTCCGCCCCCGCACCCGCACCCAATTAAATCGGGTTTCCTCCGTTAATTTCGGGTCGGATCTGAGCGGGCCCGGATTTTCTTGCCATGCCTATTTTCAATTGACTTCAAGTAGTTACGCTTTTAATCTGAAGCAAACGACATTCTCAAAGACCAGTCACGACTATTAAGACTTCCCTGACTCGATAAAGCCTGACAAATCTTGGAGGCAACTGTTTTGGACCGGTCTAAGGCCCAAAAAGCTAAGGTCCAAATTAATGTTAATCCGCTCAAAGAGACTCAAAGTATAAAAGTCATCCCACTCAAAATACAAGGTATATTTTCTGATCTCCATTTTTCACTACTCATCTTAAATCTTGAACTCACTTAGACATTGAAGTCTTAATCTTGCAAGTTCATCTCTTCACCACCATATCAAAAATCAACATCATCGATTAAAGATTCCTCATCACCAGCTTACACATAATTATGGTTTCATAACATAACATATTAATTTTTAATAACTTGTCACTTATATTATCGATCTATCACGTATCATAATTCTTATATAAAATAATTTGTTACGGTTTACAATTGACACTCATTTAAAAATGGACATGTTTTAAAGTGTAAAATGTGAGAGGATCAACTAAATTATGAGAATGGACTTTCAAAGACTTATAGAATGAAAGGATTACTAAATTCATTGTTTGGATTTACAAAGACCAATGACATCCATGTTGACAGAACTAAGGAATGTATCACAAATTCTCTATTTCTAATCTGTGCGGTTCATGTGAGTTTAACCCATGCTCGTGTTACCTTAATATCATTACAAAGTTTGCAGAACAGTTTTTCTTGTACACAAAATATAACATTTTTTATGAGACAGAAAAAGTATAATATACGTGTGAATCTAAAGTCAATATTCATCTAGAAGAGTTAGATCATTCTCCTACAAACAAGGCAACAGCTCTCACTACCAAAGTTGAAGCTGCTACAATCAAGGCAGCAAAGATTGGAGGAACAATTAAATCAATCTTAGACTTCACAAACAAATCAGAAGGAATACATATAATCTCTCCAGGAACATCTAATGGCATTCTAATGAACCCATCTTTTTCACACTTGTGAGAGAACAAAGAATAAGGTGAAATCGCTGAAACAAATGTAACCTGCGGGGAGATTGACGCCACGGCCACTGTTAAGGTTAAGAGTGTTACCCAAGTGGTTGCATAGGTGAGTATTGGCCATGGTGTTGTCATGTGTAAACGGAACATGTTAGAGAGCCAAAGAGACATTTTGAGGAGGTGAATGAAATTGTTAGTTGTTGGTGTTTCTTGGGGTGCGTACTTATGTTTTTAAAACTGGTGTGAAACTACCTAATCTATCAACTACTTTTTGAATTTTGAGGATGTTGGTATGAAAAAATGGTGTATAAAGGACCAATGATTTGAGACTCGTATTGATGGTTTTGTTGACCAAACTTTGTGGTGTTGAATTTTGAGGGTGTAATTTATGGTGGGTTTGGTTTAGCTGTTAAATGAATTTTGAGTCACTCCACAACATTAATTAAAATAATGTAAGTATAGCATGTGGCTATTGTGAAATGTTTTTTCTTTTGATTTATTTTAATTGCTAAAATTTTCTATTTTAAAGTAAATAAGAAAAATAAGAAGGATTTCTTAAATTTGAACTCCAGATATGTTAGCAGATGTTAACAAAAATTTAAACTGATAATTTATTTGATTATTTTGTATTACTATAACTTTAATTTCTATTACTAGTCTAAGAAAAAGGCCTATGGATCGTCGAAGTTAATCAACATACTGATATAAATGAATTTTAATAACCTCCAAGAAAACCCTATATTAAACATTAAACAATTAATTAAATTATTTTACAAGAACAAATAAATAATTAATTTAAACCCTGTATAATTTATTTATTTTTGCTTGATTATGTTATAACATATACAATTTAGATTGTGTTATAACAGATACCGATCAAGACTGAGTTAATGATCTCAAAAGTATTGGATTCAGCTAGTTTAAATAAAGTAAATCACTTTAGAGAGTAAAACAAGTGGAGTAGATATTAAGAAGAAATCAGTGACTAATAAATTATAACTGTTACAATCTATACAATTGAATCAACCGAAGGCAATGCGACCATAAAAGAAATATGACAGAGCATAAAAGAACCATTATATTCAGTCAGTGGTGGAGGGTGATGATGCATTCCCCACCTTGAGAGCTAACCATAGAAAACTGCAGAATGACAAGCATAGTACAACCAACATGACTATGATAACTGCTTCGAATGAAACGTATGGGGCCACAAAGAAAACGATAGCAATTGTAGCGCTTTGCCATATCTTTAACTGTGCAAAAGCCCCTTCCTGCACCACAGAGTAATATCAATTTGACATTAGAGATATTGGGAAAAGAACAAATTAATCAAGCAAAGGGGTAGATTGCATTTGTGTACCATGTCATGCTTAAACAGCATTCCTAGCAAAGCATTGAGCTGTGTCATTAGAACTCCATCGCCGATGCCCAATAAAGCAGCCAAAAAAAGTATATATAAAGTACCGAGAAATCCGCTAGATATACTGCATTAGGAGCCCCAAAGAAAATATAGGCGAAATGAAATTACATGCAGAAAATAATATCCATAAACATCAGCCAAACATAAGGAATATTGCAAACCTGAAATTTAGCAGGAGCAATATTAGTACAACCGCTTGGGCAAAAGCTCCAAAAGAAACTATTGATGTAATGGATGTGAGACCAGAGGTGAGACGACCAGCAGCAAGAGAACACTGATATATTTAATGAGTTGAGACAACAAAAAAAAACAGATAAAATATGAAAATAAGAAAGAAATGCTCGCAAGCATGACGTAATCAAGCCACTTTCGAACCACCGCCCAAGAAACTACAGTTTTGCATTTCATGTCAATACTTACTATTCCATCAAAAGCTCCATATGCTGCCATTGCAATACCAACACCGGAAACACCAATTGCTGGAGTTACAACATACTTGGTAAATTCCGCCCTGTGAAAAAGTATTTCAATAACAAACATTACAAAATAGACAGGAAAGAAAACAAGAACTCAGAGAACCATTATTGAAGATCATGAGGAAGATAACTTATGGTTCATATGAAATTACCACACAAATGCTTGTTGTAGACCTGAATATGCCATAAGGGGTATGATTAACAACATCTTCACATCAGACAATGCACTTGTGAGTGAACTACATAGAGACTTAAGGGACTTTGATTCACCAGCATCATTACTATTACCACTCCGTTTATGTAGGAAGCACATTAGTATTGCACCAAATGTCATAACGAAAAGGAATACAACAAACAATAGCGTTGTGCCTTTGGTACTTCCTCCCTGCAGTGATGAGAAACGAAATCAAATCTGAAGAATATATAAAATACTCTACATCAAAACATGTCAGCATCTGAAATGAGAATTCAATGCTTAAAGGAACAACAAAAAACCAACTCATATTGATATTAGGCTTCCTTGAAAAAGTTTGCATATTGTAGCAAGTGTTATCAAAAGCTGTGTTTTTATAACAGAAATATCAAAGCTCAACTAAACTTGAACCAAGGTTTATGTCAATCATAAACTTCTTATTCTTCGTCATAAGAAGCGAGTTTTAATTCGTAATTGCCACAAGAATGGGCAAACATGAAAAATATAATAACTTGATTCTTAAAGCAAAACAAATGACACAAGTCTTTTCAAAATATGAAGACTAACCACCACATACCTGCCCATCACTGAGTAGAGCAAATGTAATAAGATTTCCAATAAACTGCAAAACAGATTTAAAAACAGTTCATTTTGAAGTCTAAATAGTTTTAATTTAAAGAAACATAAACAATAAAATCACCAGTTTTGAGTAAAAAAAACTATGACCTGATGAAGAGCATACACACCCCAGAATTCCCCGTTGAAGTCTCCAATCACAGCACCTTCGTGTAAATTGTTATCTATAGAATGACTGCGTGCAGTGGAAGTTAGATATGTTCCCTGACAGTTCAAACTAAGATCAGTAAAGATATGGAGGAATAGTAATGACAATAGGTAGGAACAGTGGAACTTCAACATGTTATATGTACCTGTCCAACCCATATAATAGAAGCACAGAACCCAAGATACACAGAAGCCGGAACCAGTGTATACCTGCATAACAGTGACTCAATGGTTAATCATATGCAAAATAAGTTAGAATCATGATAAACTCATCAAAATCAAACACATGGCATGTTTATGTTTTTGACGGCAGAGTATATCAAAAACAAGATAACTCCCAGTTGCAGTTACCAATTAGGCTTCAAATTCGCGGCAACGTAGAGCCAATAACCAGAAGTTCCAATAATCAAAGCATTCTTAGATCCAAGAATCCGCACGACCAAAGAAGCAAACAGAGAAAAAAACGTAAACGACAAATAAAGTATCCCAAGCGAAGTCGTACCCAAATCCTCCTCCTATAAATTCAAAAACCATCACAATTACTCACCGGCTTTCAAATTCAGTATCACAATTAAGAGACACGAAAACTAACAGTGTTGAGAGTGCTCTGCAAATTTTGAGCAGCTCCATAAGCAAGAAAGATCAACAAAAACGCTAAGCTCATAATATGAACATCTCTGCTGTGGCTTTTGTGCGGTTCATGTTGAAGCGGTGGTTCATCGGTGACAACCAATGGCGTTTCTTCGTCGCGATGAGTGATTACAGAAGCCATTGGTTGAAGTTGTAGATCCAGTTTATGGATACTTGTTTAAAACCTAATAATCGTAATTTGGTTGCGTCACGACGTTGACGCCGCGACAGAAAAATCGCCGGCACGATGCATAGAAGAATTGGAAATTAGTGAAGATTCGGAATCTTGTAACAGTTCCTTTGAGTTTGATTCTTCTTCTTATTCATATTCATTTATTTATCGTTGACCCATTTTAATTATTTATTAATTATCCTAAGTTTCACCGTCTCGTAAGATATGTCATTTTACTTAAATTTATTTATAATCAAATGTTGTTGAAATAAGTAATTAACAAATGTTAACAAAATAAATATCTCCTAGTTCGATTATTTGTCACTATCATTGCAGGAGTCTGGTACATACCTTAAAATTCAGAAATTAAAGAATACAAGCAAGTAGTGGACAGGAGCACAGATAAGGACTGCAAATAAACATCAAAAATGTTTCCATGTTTATCGGTCATTTTAACTTTTTCCTCTCTTCAAAGAAAGAAACAAAGGAAGGTAAAATTGCATCTCAACTCCCTCCTATTTTTACCTTTGTATCATATTGAAAGTTGCATCTTCTCTTATAAATATTTTGTGTAAGGTAATCTATTGTAAATTTTGATTTTATAAACAACATTCATGTTTTAATTGTGATACATTTGAAGATGCTTAAGCCTAATAAATAATGGATTTTAAACAATAATTCATTTGTGATAATTGTGTATGGATATCGGGTACAGAGATGCGAGTTCCAACATGCAACATCTTATTTGTTCATCTTTAAAAAAAACACTAAATCATCTAGGATTTATGATGGATATAGTACTGAGGTTGTTGTTTTATAAATGGATAAACTAGGTCTCTTTATTGTCACACTAAATAATTTTTTGTAGGTTTGATCCATTAAAATCTTAAATATTAAAACATGTGATCATACAAAGGAAGATTCAGCTGAATACTTCAATCATTCTAAAGAATTGATTGTCATGCCTTCAACAAATAAATGCGTTATAACATTATGTAATTTAGATTACAATTGTAACATGTGGTATGAGAGCTATGTAATTTAGATTACAATTGTAACATGTGGGATGAGAGCTCGAATTATACACTACTATAAAAATCGCATTTCATCTCAGTTGAAAAAAGACTTTTACATTGGTTGAGTGTCTAAGGTAGCGTAGAATTTTATGAAAAGTGGGCTATTTTTTTCTTCAGGCCACTTGCTAAGGAGAAAAACTGGAAACTGCGTCACTTTTCTTATTGGTTGGACTTGCCAACCGAGATGAAAAGTGGCACCGTCATGTGTTTGATTTCAAACAACAACATTTTTGCATTTTCAAAATGGCATATTAGACTAACTTTTCCCCTCGATTGGAATAAGAATCGAGGTGAAAAACTCCAAGGCCTAACTTTTCTCCTCGATTGAGACTTTTAACTGAGAAAAAATTTATAGGATAAGATTTTAGTTTTACAAAAGTCATTTTATTTATCTCTAAACTATAAATTTAACAACATAGAG